CCTATCAATAATGGAGGTAAAAATAATCCAACCGATTAACCATTAGTTTCATTCTATCGTGTTTTTGTATCTGCATTTCGTGAAGCAAGGCACTTTAAACAAAATCGATAGGTTTCGTTCATCTCGCTCTTTCTGTTTTAATTCTTTCCTCTATGAGTGAGGAAATTTCAGGAACACCCAAATCTCGATGAATGTCACTTTAAACACCTTGTTCTGGAAGGTTAGTATTTATTTGATATATGTTTGCTTGATACAACCCCATACTTGTATATTGTTTGTCCGTATACTTATACCTTATTACTTGGTTATATGTCAACACTTTTTTTATGCTGTCAATTTAGACCTCCTTCTTAGGATTGTCATTAAAATTTATTGCTAGTAATTTTATTCTTTATACAATTCTGTGAGAATATTCTCATTTTTTATATCTAATGTTAATGCAAATTTATAAACACATGCTTTATATTATTTATTTATGTATATGTATGTACGTGTTGAAAATATTAATTACTATTTAAAAAGATATGCCAAGAGCATCATTTGAGTTAAATGATGCATTTAAAATTGATTTTATTTTAAGAAGCTTTTAAATTGTTATAATTGTTCGCGCCATCAATCAATTTATTTGCTATATTTTATATTTATGTAAAGTGGTATACATAATCTGTAGTATGTACGATGAGTATAATAATAATAATTTTCAAATTAAAGTAAATTATAATTGCTGTTATATGTCAGAAATAACAGTAGTTTTCATAAATGTAATTAAAAAGGTGGATGTATTTAATAATTTTTCACTTCGAAATTATTCACAATTGTTATGACGAAAAAAACCGACTTATTCAATATTAAAAATTATTTGATGTCATTAAAATTTTTATACATTATTTGTAATACATAGTTTTCATAAGTATATATATACAAATTTAGTAATGTAGACGGTGAGAAACTAAGTATGATGAATCATTCTAGGAATTGTAAAAATAATGTATTTAAAATTTGATTTTTGTTTTTGATATGACGAATTTTGCGAATCAATAAACTTTTAATAAAATTAGGAAACTCTATATAACAATATTAATGATTCACGAAAATTTGATTTTAAATTTATACATTAAAATTTATCATACCACCTACATACCTTTATCAAATTTAAAAATTTACAGACTATTTACTCGTATTTGGAGAAATAAAAATTGTTATTTCTCATCTTTAAAGCATATTGAATCAGGTCTACTTGTATAATAAAATAATAATATATGCTAACTTAATTTAATTGGGAATATTCATTACTTAACAAAAGAAAACACACCAATTAATTGAAAAAAATTAATTGTGAATATTATAATTGAGAAATTTCTAAACAAATCAGTTCACTGACAAATAAAGAAATAAAAACACTACAAGACACAAAACAATTCAATTGGAGCGAAAAACGACGTAACTGTCACATTACCTTCTTTGTCTGTCAAATATGAAACTTTGATTAATAATTTTTACTGTTTTTTTGTCATCATTCACTAGGGGCACTAAATATGTCATTACTTCCTTGTGTCTTGTTAATTCTCCCAAAAAAAAAAATAATGAGTTTTAGGAAAAAATTTAATAAAAAAATGTGGTTCATTTTTTTTTCTAATCTGTCAAAATTCTAGTTTGATTATTATTGGAATTATAACGCCATTGTTTATGAGAAAGTAAAACTAGCAAATGCAGGTAAAAGTTCTACTAACAAACAATTTCAGTGCTAGTTGTTTGGCTGACAAGTTCTATTAAATACATAACAGTGCTGTTGTTTGGCATATAACGCTTTATAAAGCTGTAATTTTATGTACATCGTTTTTTTCTGTTAAATAATGATATTGGGAAAATTTTAGATTATTTCCTGCTTTCGAAAAGTTTTCTTTTAGTAGGAAGTAGGAATTTGAAAGCAAAAAAAACGTGATATTCTCAATTTTTTGAATTTCTTTTGAAATTCACGTAAAATTACGATTTGTTGAAACATAAAACAGCAAAGGCAATTCGAATTTTTAAGCTACCCCTGCAATTTCTCATTTTAATTTTAACATCATATTAAAATTAAATATAATTTCTTATCATATTTGAATTTATTATTTATTTTTCAATTTTTTTTTCCTATATATTTTATTTTCAATTTTTAAATTTCAAGATTAGATATTATATGGAATATTAAAAGAATAATAATATGGTGATAAAATGTCACCTATATGTATGTATATATATACATACATATATAATACATATTAAAATAAAAACTATAGATGAAAAAAAAATATTTTAAAAAGTATAAAAACGTCATAACTTAAAATAACCTTGTGATATCTGAAAAATTTATGACAATTATAATATTATAACCTAGTGATACACTAATTTTTTATTATGTTAACGAGCATATTCACATACACATATATACATATTAGTATGATTGTATATTTGGATTTTGTTAAGTATATTAAAAACTAACAGACCAACACAATGTGATTATGACAACTAAAACTTTTATACAAAACAGAAAGCCATAAAAATAAGAAATTAAGTTAATTAAAATATTTTTAAAGAAAATAATTATAAATTAAATTAAAAAAAAACAAAAAGTTTGTAAAATTCTTTAGACTGGAAATTATGTTTTTTCTGTCACTTAACTCGCTTCTAAGGTACTGTTTACATACTTATGCAACAAAATTTAAAATTTGATTTGGGTCTGATGAAAGTTGTATTATGTAAACACTGTTTGAAATCAGACTTTATCTGAAAAGCAAATAATAAAAATTTCTCTATTCTCACCAGATTTACATTCAGTTTTTTTATAAGTAATACGACGGCAATTACTTATAAAATTTTGTCGCAAAGTCTAAGATGCATTAAATAATTTTAATCTAATATTTAAACAGCCATATGAGATGTTATATACGAGGGCTGTCCCAGAATTAAGTAGCCTAACCAAGAGAACACAAAAATTTTGACAAAATTTATTTTTATTTCTCAACATAGTCCCCTTTTAGGTCAATACACTTTTGCCAGCGGTGTTGAATTGTTTCGATACCATTTTTATAGTAAGAACTGGGAAACTCTGCAAAATAGCCATCAACGTTTAAACTGCGCTACCCAATTTTTTAATCATTGCTTGTGGGGGAGCAGACTCCCCTAGTGTAGAATCTAGTTCACTTTTGATACCGGCTGGACTAAGACCTTTCAAATAAAAATATTGAATGACATAACGATGGCCAATTTTGTTCATATTAAAAATTTACTGAAAAGCTTCACTATTAATAGTCGTTAATCTGAAAAGAAAAAAAATAAAATAAAAGTGTGACAGTTAATCCTTAAAATGATAGGGCTTTCTGCCAGGCTTAATTTTTTTTTCAAAATTTTTGTGTTTTCTTAGTTAGGCTACTTAATTCTGGGACAGCCCTTGTACGATTTGTTCTTAGATTTCGTCGTGTAAGTAAACAGTATCTTAAATTTTCTCGTATATGTAAACGACACCTAACAAGTTGTAGTACAATCAAATGTTTGATCTTAAAATTTCGACTGAATGATTTTGAGTTTTGCGTTGTAGTTTATTTATTTTTTTTTTTTTTTTTTGGATTTATTCCAACATTAGATAAGTTGTCATGAGTTTGTCAATATAATTGTATTTAATTCTATAAAATTTGCATTCGTTAAAATTGTGCATTTAAAACAAAAAGAGTAATAAAATCAAAAAAAAATTCTTTTTTTTTCTTTTCTATTTTATTTTGTTTATTTATCTATTGAAAAATAATTTCAATATTATTTTTTATATTCTAAAATTAAATTACGGAAAATGTAAATAAGACGGCGAAATGTTATTGTAATTTTTAAAATGCACATTTTGTCTTCCTTGATTTTGTTTCTTTGCTTGTTTTTTTTTTTTTGTATTGAAATCTTGTAGATAATGAACTATTGTATTTGACCCGTTGATAAAATTTTCTGATGTGAAGCGAACGTTAAGTAATGCGAAAAATGCTATTACTTGTGAACACTTGAAGACGGTTCTTGTGTGTATAATTCTATATGTACATATATAACAAATTATTAATTATTAAAATGCTTATTAAGATTATATATGAATATTTTCAATTGTGATTAATTCTTGAAATTGCAAAATTCGTGATACAATTCTAACAAAGATCTTCAATGGTAGCGCACGTTTTTGTAGTTTGCTGCAAAAATCATTCCATTTTTGTTGATAGAACTGCAAAATATCTTTTGTCAAATTGGCGGCATAAAATTTTTTTCTTCTTTTATATTCATAACCTCAATTAGCAAAGAACTCAATTATTAAAGAATATAAATTAAATTTTTTGACACCAGAGCTCTTGCTGTTTTAGTAGTTTTATTCCAATGCAGTTTTAATTAATAGATTCTCTCGTATTCAGAACTGCAAATGCAAATTCAACCATTTTGCTCAATTGTGTTGTATTTGCTAAACAGTAGTAATAATGCAATTTTCAGGTCTTGGTTTACTTACAATTATTAAAATATTAAAATTACGATGTGAGTACACTGCCGAAAATTGTAAGATTTAAAATTTTGTTTTTTGAAATACATACAAAAATTTTTCACTAAATTTTAATTTCATATATGCAGTAAAGAACAACATTAATTTATTTGGATTTTTGGTAACACAATTTAATTTCAAGGACTTTTATAACAGTTTTTAATAATTTACTCTACTTATTTATTTTTTTTTAATTTTTATTGTAATTTTAATGTGGTATATAAGTAATTTATTCACAGCTAGGAATTTTTACTAGATTTCATGTTGAGAATTAAACTATACGTTTACAAAACACAAAGAATTCAAGAAATAAATAAGAATTCAAACAATCAATTTAATAACATAAGTACTTAATAAGACTTTTTCAAAATATTTTTAAAAATATAAAAATAAAAATTAAATTTAAATTAAATTTATTCATTTTATTAATTTATTTTATTTTTTATTTTTAAATTTTTAGTTCAGCTGTAAATACAAAAAATAATATGAAAGTTGCTATAAAAAAATTAGCACGACCATTTCAATCAGCTGTACATGCAAAAAGAACATACCGTGAACTTAGAATGTTAAAACATATGAATCATGAAAACGTTATTGGTTTATTAGATGTTTTTCATCCAGGTGATAATTCAATTGAACAATTTCAACAAGTTTATTTAGTAACACATTTAATGGGTGCTGATTTAAATAATATTGTTAGAACACAAAAATTATCAGATGATCATGTACAATTTTTGGTATATCAAATATTAAGAGGTTTAAAATATATACATAGTGCTGGAATAATACATAGGGTATTATATATAGATAGATATTTAAATTGATTTATAAAATTAAAAATTATTTTTTAAATTTTTAGGATCTTAAACCATCAAATATTGCTGTAAATGAAGATTGTGAATTAAAAATTCTTGATTTTGGTTTGGCAAGACCAACTGAAAATGAAATGACCGGCTATGTTGCAACAAGGTATATAATTTTTTTTGTATAATAATTTATTAATATTTTTAATATTAATTAATAATTTTGGTTATTTTAGATGGTATCGTGCACCAGAAATTATGTTAAATTGGATGCATTATAATCAAACAGTCGATATATGGTCTGTAGGATGTATTATGGCTGAATTATTAACTGGACGAACTCTATTTCCAGGAACAGATCGTATCCTTTTTCAAAATAAAATAAAAAACAATATGAATAGATTTTTTTTTTTTTTTTTAAATTTGTGTCGTCAACAATTTTTTAAGTATTTTATGTTTATATTGCTTTAAAATGGTCCTTTGGTCTTTTATTTTATTTTGATATCAATTTGTAAATTATTGTCCTTAATGTGTCATTAGGAGCTTTTTTTTTTTTTAATTAATTAATGAACATATTTTAGTTATCTTTTAGTTAGAAACTTAAATGTTTTTTTAGTCTATATTTGTTTTGGGGGATAATGTAGTTGGTACTTTTAGTTATGATAGAGGAAAAAATTATTGATTTATCTTCTTAGTATTTGTTTTTTTACGTCAGTAATAGTGTAGATTATCAGTAGAATTGTAGTAATTTAATATTATAATTATTTTTATATTTTTATTTAAAATTTATAATATTATTATGTACTGGTATATATATATATAATATAATTTTTTTTAATATTCATGTATATATATTATTTATGTATTTTAATTCACTTTAAAATTCGGAAATCGGATACATTTTTCATATAAATTTTGCACCAATAGTATACCTATACTTTCAAACTTTATTAAATGTATAATTAATGTTAAAATATTTCTTTTAAATAAGTCATTCCTAATTTAAATTCATGATATTTCTAAGCCTGATTGCAATTGTCTACAAATATATTCATAATTTCTTTTTGTGATTGCTGCTCCATAAACTATTTTGTTACTTTCCATAAAAAAAAAAATCTTTCTTCTCTATATATTATAGAATAATGCATTTTAAAATGCAATTAATGTTAAACTATTATTGAATATCAATTAAATTTCTTTAAAAAGTCTGTCTTATAATTGAAAAATATTTTTTTGTTTTTCTTACAAATAATTTCTTTTTTTTTTTTATATATTATTTTTAAGTTTCTGTTTTTGACTAAAAATTTATATTCAAAAAATATGCATGTAATTTAAACCTTTATTCAATATAAAAAAAATACAAAAACAAACAAATTACTATAATAAAAACGAATGTAGACATTCATCAACTTAATTTAATTATGGAAATTCTTGGGACACCCGCTGATGATTTTATGATGAAAATTTCGTCAGAAAGTGTAAGTTTGACCAAAAATAAATAATTAAAACAAAAATCGTTAATTAAAATTTTTTTTTTTTTAATATTATTAAAATATTTCAAAAAATTCTGTTATACCTACCACCTTGACACTTTTAATTCCTATGCCTATAATTTATGTATATTTATATGTAATTTTTTTTTTTTTAATTTAAATATTAAAATTTATTTGCTCATAATATTTATATTCTAACCAAAAATGAATAACACCAAATAATAAGAAAATAATTTAATTATTTTTTTTTACTTTCTAATAATTCTATATATTGATGTTACTCACCAAATATTTTATTTATTTTTAAAATATTTATTTTTTGGCTTTTAAAAAATTTACTTAACCAATATTATTGTTAAATATATCAAAAAAAAAAAAATTATAGAAATTTAATCAAATATAATTATTCAAATTAGTATTTAATTATATATGTTAAAAATAATATTAAATTTCAAAAAAAAAAATAAATTTTCTACCTTAACTCAATATTAACTATTTTTTTTTTTTAAATAATATCAACAATTTAATTTAATATTAATTATTCGATCAAAAAAAAAAAACGAATTTAAAAAAAAAATAGATCTTGATCATTTAACAAGAATTCTTGTATTATGTGGTACTCCTGATGAAGAGCTAATGAGTAAAATAACAAGTGAGGAGGTAGGTGCGGCATTATGAATAAACAAAAAATAATAATAAATTTATCTAATAAATAAGAAAAAATAAAAAAAAAAAAAAACCTTTCGCATGTGAAAAAAATAACTATTTCTTAATAATTAATTTTGTATAAATATAAAATAAATAACACATAAATAAAATATAAATAATTAATTAATTATTATTAATTTACACTTTACTTAAAAATATTTATAAATGTTATATTGATTTTTTCGAATTAATTTTTTTATTTTTTATAAAGGCACGGAATTATATTAAATCCCTACCAGTTATGAAAAAGAGAAGTTTTAAGGATGTATTTAAAGGTGCTAATCCATTAGCTATTGATCTTTTGGAAAAAATGCTTGAATTAGATTCAGAAAAAAGGATAACAGCAGAAGAAGCGCTGGCGCATCCGTAATTATTTTTTTTCTAAAAAAAATTTTTTGTTTATATACTCTTTTAAATTATTAATTTGTAGGTATATGGAAAAATATGCTGATCCAAATGATGAACCAATTTCAGCATTATATGATCAAAGTTTTGAAGATATGGATTTACCAGTTGAAAGATGGAAGGAATTGGTATATAATGAAGTTATTAATTTTCAACCACATCCTAATATGATCCCACAAGATATTCAAGCTCAATAAAAATGAGATTATTTTAATTCAGATATTATATGAGAAATTATAAATTTAAATATAAAGAAGAGAAAATGTAAAAAAAAAAATAAAAATTTTTTTTTTTTTTAATTTAAATATTAATTAAATACATCCATAATTTTTAAGTACCTTAAGGTTAAATAAATAAAAAAAAAATAATAAATAAAAAAAATTTTTGTTTTTTTGCGTAAATTTTGTAAATTCAATAAATTTCAATTGTATTCTTTCATTTTCTATTAATTTTATTTTACAAATATTTGATTATTTGTTTATCTTTTTTTTTGTTTCAAAAATAAGATATTGTAGTTTTCTAAAAGAAACAAATTTAAGAAGATTTTATATAATTAAAATGTTCATAAAATAAATTATAATTTACTTTTACTTGAATAATAATATTATTGAATTTTTATTGTAAAATAATAAGATTAAGTATTAAAAGAAGAAAAAAAATATTCGTATATGCACAATAATTTAAAAGAAATTAATTAGGAATTTAATCAAAATATTTACATTTAAAAATATTTGAAATTTAAAATTTATTGTTGAATATTAAATTAAGACAATTTTTCTTTTATATACATACATATGTAAATTTCCTTTACACACTAAGAAAATAAAATTCTGTTTTTAAAAATGAAAATTTTAACACATTATTCACTGCCTAAATGAAGAGACAAAAAAAATGTTATCAAATAAACTTCTTTGTTAAAAATTTAATTTGAATAATCCAATAAAAAAAAAAATTTATTGTAATTTCATTTGAATAATTTGTATAATTTTCCTATTTTAAGTAATGTTATAATAACATTATTCTTTTAAGTTCTAAAAAAATTATCCAACAAATATAAAAGAATGAAATTTAAAAAGAATAAGAGAATTTAAAAAATTATGAAAACTCAAATAATGTGATTTTCAAATATTAAATTTAATATTCGTGACATTTTCCAGTTTATTAAATTATTCTTTTATTTTTAAAGTAAATATAAAATTTCTTTTACATATTTTTTAATTAAGAAAAAATAAATATTCAAAATTTTTTCCTAAAGAAAAAACAATATTTTAAAATTATAAATTTAATTTCAACAATATAAAATAAGTTATTCCAAAATGATAACATGTACACTTATTAAATTGCAATAATTATTTATAAATAATAGTAATAATTAAATAATTAAATAAATAAATACTTTTAATGGGAATTAAATTTTTATATTTTACTAGTTTTCAAGTCAAAATCATTATAATAAAATGACTATATTTAATAAAAATTGTCCTGAATAAATTTAATTAAAATTAAAATACAAATAAATACACATTTTATAATTATTAAATAAAAAAATATTAAAATTATCATAGCGAATACTACTTTATCTTATTATAAAATATTCATAAATTAAAAACAAAAAAAATGAACAAAAAATTTCGTGATTTCATTAAAATGAAATTAATAAATAAAAAAAAAAAATATTTTTTATATATTTAATAAATAAATACATAGAATTTTTTTTTATTCACATATTAATTAAAAAAATATACGATTTTTATATAAAACAAATTTGTATAAATTACAAATAAAAAATTCATATTTTTTTAAATAATTTAAAAATGCTTTAAAATTCACATAATGTGTGGTATATTTAATTTCCGGGATTCTTAAAACTAAACTCATTGAATATTGCAAAAATATAACAAATATTTTAACATAAATATTCTTCCTAACAACATTTTTATATACATATAATAAATTAAAAGATCAAAATGAGGTGGGAAGAAATAGATTAAAGTTTTGAATTAATAAAAAATTTAAATGAAATTATTAGAGAAAAAGACAAAGAATGAAAAAAAGTACAATTTTTATGTAATTTGCCTTGTATAAAATAAATTTATATAATATATTTATTTTATTGTATATATGTAAATATATATGTATATATTTCTTTTAAATTATTGTACTCTTTTTGTCATCTTATTAAATTTAAGGAATTCCCGGAAAATATTTGAAATAAATGTATGTGCTAGAAAACTTATTTTTAAAATATACATTAGATTTTATTATATACTTTACAAAATAAATATTTTAAATAGTAAATTCAAAAATGTTCTGATATAATTGAAAATTATAATTTGGTTTTATCGTTCATACCATCATAATTAATAACTTGTTTTATTAGAATTTTTATATTTTGTTTTATGCAATTGTTCATTATATTAAATTAATTAATTGTGTTTAAATGTAAATACTTTGTGTATTTTAATTAAATTTACCCTTATCAATGTTAAAATCATGCCCAATATTTAATATTTAAAAATATTTTACACATTAAATTAGGCCTTATCTATTATTTCAATTAAAAATTTGTTATAATGAAAATAGTTATGTTTTTTCTGCTTGAAAAGCAGAAGTGATGAATTTATACGAAAATATTTTTAATAATTTGAAAAATCATATGAAAGTTACTAGAATGTCGAATTATAAATTAATTATTTATAAAATATTACAACATTATATATATTTTAATATTAATTATTTTATTAACACAAAATTTCAAATTGTGAACACATTCAAAATTTTAAATGTCATTTTAAATATATAAAATTTAAAATAAAATATAGGCGAATTTTAATAGATGAATTAAATTTTGTAATACACTTTTTTTGATTAACAATCACCTTATATAGTATGTAGTGTATAGTATATATATTTACTATATCTAAGTACCATTAATTATTCCTTATATCAGAGCATATTTGAATTTATTTATATGTTAAAAGCATAGTATTGTAGATAATTATTTTCAATAAAAAAAAAAAATAATAAATTTTGCGCCTCATTCAAAAGCTTTATCGTAGTTCAAAAATTTAATGGAAAAAAAAATAATTAAAACTTTAATAAAATTCATTGAAATTAAAAAAAAAAATTAGGATTTTCTAGTAGAAATTGTTTTATTATTCACAGCTTGTGCCATTTTTTATCAATCATCCTTAAAAGTTTATTGTTTTATAAATTTTATATGTAATGGGATTGTAAACACCAAAATAATTCAAACAATTTTTTTTAATAAATAGTTTGTTTGTAAAAATTATGATACTTAATTTTTAAATTTAAAACAAAAAAAAAAAAAACAAAATATAAAATAGAAATTAAAGAGAAATTTTAATTTTTAATTTTTTTTATATTTATTTTAAGTTTTTTGTTCTCCTTTTATATTTTTGATACCCGTATCCAATAATTTTTTTTTTTGTTTGTAAGAAATTTAATAATCAAATTTGTAAAAAAATTTTCTTAAAAAAAGAGATAAAAAAAAAATACAGATTTTATGTATATTTTTTCAAATTTAAAATAAGAATATAAAAAAAAATAAAAAAAATATCCAATTTCAATAAAAAAAAAAAGAAAAAAGAAAACAAGTTATTTTGTATTTTTATTAATTTTATATTTTAGTCGGTAAATCTAAACTAAACTTATATAAAATCTTAAAGAAAACCTCTAAAATGACTAAATTTATTTGTTTGTCATGATCCTAAAGATCAAAATTTGAAATATAGGATATTATAACCATCCATATCTAATAATAAATTAGTAATTTCATAAGAGAATCAAAAAACTGAAAATATGCTACCTAAGTACCTTGTATTAAAAGTTTACAATTAAATAATTTCAATTATTAACGATTTTATTTATACAGGGTGGTCAGAAAGGTATACAACAACATATACAATTAGTTTGAGGATCGAAAATTGATAAAATTTTTGTTCTGGACTAATTCCAAATTTAAACCCTTTAGATTTAGACCCGAGATACAAAGAATTTTAACGAATTTTCACAAAATTTCTACTTGTTCAAGTTTTTGTCTTTATAACTTATATGTTCCGAAAATGAATTCTCTATAATTGTCATGCACTCGATTTCATGAATTCTGTTCCGATCATCGATTAATTTATTTTACTTGTCTTTTATTAAGGTAATAAAAATTTTGACTTGTAGCAAATGTAAAACTTTTATTATAGCACAATGATAATAAATGATTGCTATAAACAAGACAGCTGAGTGATAACACAATTTTTAAAATTGATTACTTTACTGACTGCTTTACACTTTGAAGAGTAATTTTTTATTAGAGCCAAAAATAGTGAACAAATTTTACAAATTTTTTTTTTTCATATTGAATTAGAAAAAATAATAACATTTTGTTTATTAAAGTAAAATTAAATTGGAGCCGATTTTGTAATGGTGTGGAAATGGAAATTCGAAATTTATATATTATAATTTGCACTACTTTTCCAATATATACTTATCAGATATGCAGTATCCCATAGAAAAATCTTACTATAAAAAATAAAATAATTAATTTTCATATTATTTACCAATTACTTTTATTAATAAATATTAGCTGAAGCAATCATATGTTACTCAAATCATAATTTATGTATAGGGATTTTTATAAATAATTTCACTTATATTTTTAATAATAATTAATTTTCGTATACATTTTCTTTTATACCCAAAATTAATTTATTTACTTTTGATCTCAATTATTACATATATGTACATAATATGAAAACCCTCAAAAATTTTTGTAATATACTCTTTTGTAATTGTTTACAACAATTTAGGGTTTAAATAGGTTTGACCTATATTTAAACGATTTATGATGTGATAATATAATTTTTCCTCATGCTTTTTCTAAATTATTATATTAATTAAATAGAATAAACTTTTAAAAATTAGCTCTTACAAAATATACATATTTTATACCGTAAAAATAAGAAAAAGCAGAAAGAAAAAATTAAAAATATTTTGTTTTTTTACTACTTTTTAACTTAAAACTATGAAACTACTTTAAGGATATTCAAAAAAAAATACAAAAGAGCAAAAAAAAGAAAAATTATTTTAATAACTTTTATTAAAAAAAAAAAAAAACTGAAAATAAACAAAATTTAAAAGAAAAATAAATCTATTTTTCTCTTTTTTCCCTATTTTTTTTTTTAGGAAAGTATGAGTTAAAGACTAAAAAACAAAAATAATTTTAATAAACCATAATTTACTCTACAAGTGAGCAAATATTTGCATAAACCTTAAAGTACTCTTACGATATGAGTGCCTACATATGTATGTACATATGTACAAAAAAAAAAAAAACAAAATAAAAAAAAGTAAAAAGGAACAATTTACACAAAACCAAACAATTTCCTTTAGA